CGAGAGAGCTCTTGACAGAAACTGCCCTTGAGAGAACAGCTCTGACAGAACTATGGCTTGCCCAAGGTCATCCAGCAGCTGCTAGTGGAGAAGTGGGGAACCAAACCCGGTTCTCCCAGATTAGAGTCCACGCACTGAACCACGACACCAGACTGGCTAAGGAGGTTGTAATCTTGTCCGTCCGGAGAGCGGAGAGGCTTTCTGGGATGTAGCTCCGTGACTCACAAAGGCAGGAGGCGCAGGGAGGATTAATGGTTCTCAGCTTGCCGGAGGCCAAAACATTTGCTCTCTAGCGTCACTCTGGCTACCACAAGCGTTCGCTAGCAGAGTTCCCCCCTCCTGTCTCTCTCTCTCCAGCACGGGGCAATAAGACTAGCAATTTGGAAGCGCCAAAACATTCCCAAGCTCCGGGGCACTGCAAGTCGGCAAGGGGGGAGAACACAAGCCATTTTCAAGGGCCGCTCTTTTAAAAGGCTTTGCAGTTGTCTCGGGCATGCGGGGTTCAAAGCTAGCCTGAGAAATGTGCATAGGGGGGCACTGCCCCCTCCCTTGAGGGATGGGCATTACAGAGCGCCCGACTGACCGCAAGCCACTTAGAACATTCCAGTTCCTCGTGCAAAGACGCAAGCGGTCTAAATCTCACAGTTGTGCCTTGTGAGTGGATAGCCGTCAGTCCCGATATCTGAGCGAGGGAAAGCAGCTCTGAGAGAAGCGGGTATAAAGGCCTACTCTTCTTCTTCCTGCGGAAGGGCACAGCGTGCCAGTGTTGCCTCCTCCCGAACGCCATGCCTGAAGCATGGAGGGTAACTCAAGGGATGTGAGGAGGCAGCATCATAGAATCACAGAGCTGGAAGGCACCATAGAGACCACCTAGTCCAACCCCCCTGCCCAATGCAGGACCGGCCTGAAGCATCTCTGACAAATATTCCTCCAGCCTCTTCTCGAAAGCTGCCAGGGAAGGGGAGCTAATTCCACCTCCCCAGGCAGCTGATTCCACCTCTGAACCACTCTGACCGTGGAAACGTTTTTCCTAATATCCAGCCGATCCCTTTCTGCGTGTAACTTAAGCCCGTTGCTTCGGGGCCTGTCTTCTGCTGCCAACTGGAACGGCTCCCCTTTCAGATATTGAAAGAGAGCAATCATGTTCCCCCTCCATCTCCTCTTCTCCAAGCTGAACATTCCCAAGGCCCTCAGCCTTTCCTCGTAGGGCTCGGTCTCCAGACCCCCGATCCTCCTCGTCGCTCTCTTCTGCACCCTCTCGGTTTTGCCCACGTCCTTTTTGAAGTGAGGCCTCCAGAACTGCACACAGGACTCAAGGTGCGGCCTGACCAAGGCAGCATACAGAGGGGCTATGATGACCTCCTGTGATTTCGATGCTATGGCCCTTTTGATACAACCCAAGACTGAATTTGCCTTTTTTTTTTTTGCCACCAGCGTACTTCCTCTTCATCTTCTCCAGGTTGTATGCACAAAGGTAATGCCGGCAGGCTCAAGAGGAGCTTAAAGGGAATCCGGCACTTGCCAGCTCCTCACTCGCAGGGCTTCAGTACCTTGAGTTAGCTGTGCAGGCCTGAAGCATCTCTGACAAATAATTATCCAGCCTCTTCTTGAAAGCTGCTAGTGAAGGGGAGCTAATTCCACCTCCCCGGGCAGCTGATCCCACCTCTGAACCACTCTGACCGTGGAAAAGTTTTTCCTACTATCCAGCCGATCCCTTTCTGCGTGTAACTTAAACCCGTTGCTTCGGGGCCTGTCTTCTGCTGCCAACTGGAACGGCTCCCGGCCCTCCTCCAAATGACAGCCTTTCAGATCGTCAAGAGCAATCGTGTCCCCCCTCCATCTCCTCTTCTCCAAGCTGAACATTCCCAAGGCCCTCAGCCTTTCCTCGTAGGGCTCAGTTTCCAGACCCCTGATCATCCTCGTCGCTCTCTTCCGCACCCTCTCGATTTTGTCCACATCCTTTTTGAAGCGAGGCCTCCAGAACTGCACGCAGTACTCCAGGTACGGCCTGACCAAGGCAGTATACAGGCCATGCTCCCTCTAAGCTGTGGAGTCTTGTGAGCAAAACTTTCTACTTGGTGAGCTACTGGCATTAAAGTTGTGTGAGCAAGCAATCTGGCTTCTGCATAAATCAGTTTGCTCTGGAGTCATCCTTCCTGAGCCAAGACACAAGTGTGTGAGCCGGAGGCAAAAAAACCTGTGAGCTAACTCAGCTTAGAGGGAACACCGCAGAGGGGCTATGACCTTCTGTGGTTTCGACGCTATGGCCCTTTTGATACAACCCAAGACCAATGCTCCCTCTAAGCTGTGGAGTCCTGTGAGCAGAAATTCTACTTTGTGAGCTACTGGCATTAAAGTTGTGAGCAGGTAGTTTGGCTGCTGCATAAAATTAGTTTGCTCTGGGGCCATCTTTCCTGAGCTAAGACAAAAATGTGTGAGCTGGAGGCTAAAAAACTGTGAGCTAGCTCACACTAACTCAGCTTAGAGGGAACACTGCCCAAGACTGAATTTGCCTTTTTTGCCACCACATCACACCGACTTGCTTGTATTCAGTTTACAGTCCACTCTTACCCCAAGATCTATAGCTTTGCCCAACAATTTGTTTTCCCTGGGGAGGAGACTTGCTGGCTGCCCGCAGGCCGGATTGGACCCTGGAGGCCATTTCACATTAGCCCCTACCAAACTGTAACCCTGGTCCAGTGAACGGTTTGGCTCAGTTTCACTCACAGAAGTATTTTCAAGTTGTTAGAAGAGGCACACCTTAAAATGCCAGACAGCTATTGATCCCACCTTTTCTAAAGGAGTTGGGGGGAGGCCCTTCACGGTTCTCCCCCTCCCGTTTTATCCTCACAACCACCCTGTAAAGTAGGCTAAGCAGAGAGGGAAGGACGGTCCCAAAGTAACTCAAGGAAGTTTCACATTCCTGCCCAGGAAGTAAGATCCCAGGGAAAGGCCCTCCCTGACTGCCCCATTGATCGAAGATGGTTGCCGGGGGGGATACAGAAGACAGGGCCTTTTTGCGGGCAACCCCACGATTATGGAACAACCTCCCTGGGGAGGTGCGCCTGCCCCCCCCGATCCTCAGGAGGCAGCTGAAGATTGTTTTATTTAGGACTGCATTTGATTAAAGCGGGCCTAAGTTGTGATTTTAAATTTTGGGTTTATGTTTTTTTAAGAAATGTTTTTATGTCCATCAGTGGCTATTAGCCACAAGGTATAGATAGGGACTCTGAGGCAAGTGATGCTCTGTCATCTTGGTGCTTGGGGGGGGTCAACAGTGGGAGGGCTTCTAATGTCCTGGCCCCACTGCTGGACCTCCTGGTGGCCCCTGGTATTTCTGGCCACTGTGTGATACGGAGTGTTGGACTGGATGGGCCTTTGGCCTGATCCAACACTGGCTTCTCTTATGTTCTTATGTATTTTATTAATGTCACAAGCCACCTTGATCTCCGTTAAGAAAGCGGCTAATATTGAAAACAAAAATAAGTAGACTGTTCATAACTAATTTTCCTTCCTTTCAATTTGGTTAAGCACTTTTCTTAGAGAGAGGCACAAATTGTCTTTGGTGGCCAAGAAAACACAGGCCAGAGCAGGGTTTGAAAGCTGAACAATTTTAATCATCTATTTAAAAAGGTGTTTATGTGTTTTTAAATGTTTTTAACATTATGACGCTCTTGCCGTAGTTGGCTATGTCCCTCTGTGTGTCAGAGCGGCTGACAAACTCCTTTCCCTTCCCCTCTCCACAACAGACCCCCGGTGAGGTAGGTGGGGCTGAGAGAGCTCTGACAGAAACTGCTCTTTTTCAAGGACAGCTGTGCCAGGACTATGGCTTGCCCGAGGTCATCCAGCAGCTGCGAGTAGAGGAGTGGGGAATCAAACTCGGTTCTCCCAGATTAGAGTCCGCGCAATTAACCACGACACCAAGCCAATGTGCTGCTTGTTTGCTTGAAGCCGGGGGAAGAAAATACCTGGGAGCTGAACCACTGATGCGGAAGCCTTTTCTGTTAACTCTGGGTTTTCCCCCTGCATTCTCAGTTTCCTCCCTCGTGTGCTCCAACTCTAGGGGGCAGTGCTCATCTCCATTTCCAAGCTGAAGAGCCAGCGCTGTCTGAAGACATTTCCGTGGTCATGTGGCCGGCGTGACTAAACACTGAGGTGCTTGGAACGCTGTTACCTTATCTGCCGCTTTGGAACTTGTCTCATCGGTCCGGATCCACCCTACCAGAACCCAACTTGGAACTAGGAACATCCGAGCACCAGCACTTTGTTGTTCTATTGTTATGTTTTTATCTTGTTTTAGTTGTTTTAATTATGGCTTTTGCCCCAATTGTTTGCCGCCCTGAGCCTTAGGGGAGGGCGGGATATAAATCGAATTATAAATAAATAAATAATTACCTTCCCACCAAAGCGGTACCTATTTATCTACTTGCAATTTCTTGCTGTCAAACTGCTAGGTTGGCAGGAGCTGGAACCAGAGATGGGAGCTCACTCCGTCACGCGGCACACTCGGGTCTCGAACTGCCGAACTACAGACCTTCTGGCCAGCAGCTCAGCGTCTTAATGCCAGAACACTGCAGGTTTTTATGCTGGAAATACAGCAATGTAATATTGAATCGTCCACTAGAGGGAGCAAAGCAGGTGAAGAACAGAAATAGGCCTGTCTAGAGGATTGGAACCTGGGAACACACAGACTGTACCCCCCCTCCCCCCTCGCCATTCTGTGCCTTCAAAGAAATATTTCCTGGGCTCTTTGAGGAACAGAAACTGAGCTGGAAGCCTCTTCCTTCCCTCCTTGCCCTCATCTTTCCCTGCTTTTCAGCCTTGATGCTTTACACGTTCTGCAGTAACACAATGGCTATCCCTTTCCCAAATTCCAGGTGCGTATCTCATATGATCGACATTCTTTCATTTGCCATTTTATTTAATTTTTTAATTTTTTTTCCTTTTACATAAAAACTTCAGTAAAAATTGGATAAAGTAAAATGATTTAAGCAGTAAAATTAATCTTATCAACATAGCACGTGGCCAGCCAGAAACCCAGAGGCGGCCAAGTTTTTGCCAATTATTTACATGATAACAGATTTCAACCTCGCAGAGAACAAAAAACAAAAAACAACAAAAAGAAAGAAAGAAAGAAGAAACCTTCAAAACTATTCTTACAAAGTGTTCCCATGATATCAACACATGGAGGGAGGGGGAGGGAAGGAGAGAAAAACCTCCATATATTCACATATACGTTAAAATATAATACAGATCTTGAGTGGGGAGACAGGGGCGCGCTCGTGGGACATTGTGTTGAACGGCCCCACCGCCGGGCCAGAAGTTTTGCACGGAGGGCACACACAGAGCGACGTGTGGAGTCACAGCTGGAGAGCGGGTGGATGTCGTTCATTCTGCCGCTCCGATCTGGTCTCCCAAAAGGTGACTTGGAAAGGGAGTCGCCTGTGCCACGAGATTCACGGCGGGGTGGCTTACCAAGAGGGTTCCCCCCACCCCCACCCACGGGGCCCAGGAATTCCACGCCAATGAAGCACCCCGAAGCCGGACGGCTTCAGGCTCTAAAGAGGAACACCGCGCTGCTGCCCTTGGGCGGCTACTCCAAGTCCGTGTCCTCCTTGGGTTTATAAATGCCCCCAAACTTCTGCATGTATTTCTTGATGTACTCTTTCGTCTTGTGCTTCACATTCTCGTTGCATTCCAGGTCCTCGGGGTTTTTGCAGTATTTCAGTTCTTTGTTCATCACTCCGTGGGTCAGCTGGGAAGGGGGAAAAGAAGAAGAGGAAGAGGTTGGATTTATACCCTGCCCTTTACTCAGAGTCTCAGAGCGGCTTACAGTCTCCTTTCCCATCCCCTCCCCACAACAGACACCCTGTGAGGTGGGCGGGGCTGAGAGAGCTCTTGACAGAACTGCCCTTGAGAGAACAGCTCTGACAGAACTATGGCTTTGCCCAAAGTCATCCAGCAGCTGCAAGTGGAGGAGTGGGGAATCAAACCCGGTTCTCCCAGATTAGAGTCCGCGCACTGAACCGCGATACCAAACTGGCACTTAACCACGACACCAAACACGTGGAGGAAGAGCTAGGAGCAATGCTCCCTCTAAGATGAGGAGTCTTGTGAGCAAAAATTCTACTTTGTGAGCTGCTGGCACCAAAATTGTGAGCGAGCGATTTGGCTACTGCATAAATCAGCTTGCTCTGGAGCCCTCCTTCCTGAGGGGAGACAAAAATGTGTGAACTGGAGGCTAAAAAACTGTGAGCTAGCTCACACTAACTCAGCTTAGAGGGAACACTGGAGGCGGCCTGAGCAGGCTGTCCCAAGGCGCCCCTGGGGGAGAGCATTCCGGAGGGCGGCAGTGCTGGTCTGCAGGAGACGAGCTAGACCGGAGTTCCAGAAGCACCTCAGAGAACAACAGGCTTTTTGAGGTAAATATAAGCAGCAACGGAGATCCCCCTGAGTTCTTGTATCCCAGTCTGAAGGGAGGAGGTGCTGCTGCAAAGAAAGGATTTAAAGGTGCAATCTGCACAACGTAGCCAGCTTGATTACGACAGGGGAGAGAGGCTCAGGGGCAGAGATCAGCATTTGCAGTGAGACAAGAGCTGGACCAGAGTTCATTCACAGAAGGCAGCACCTCCCACCGGCAGCAGGCCAGGCGGCGGGCACCCGCCAGACACCAGCTGTCCAATCGGAGTTTCCAGGCGGTCCCCGGCTCAAGAAGGGCAGGCATCCAACGTGGGTTGCTAAAGCGGAGAGTGGCGCTTGGGGGGGGGCTGTGGCGGGGGGAGAGGAGCGCGCTCCGAGCTGAAGAGGAAGAAATCTGGCACTGACTTCAAAGCCGGCGCTCCATCCCCAAATGGCGCCGCCAGCACGCCTGTGCGCACTCCGGCCCCAGGCCCACCCCTGAAAGGCAAGGAGGCAGTGAGCTCCCCCCTCCCCGGCCCTCCCATGTACGGCACAAGGCAAACACACACAGACAGACACGCTTCTGCTCTCCTGTTCACACCGGCGTCTCAAGCCATTCCAATTGATAACCACCACCAACGGTTCTCCAGAGCCACCTGGTCTTGGGGGCTTGATAAGCAGCCGTTTGGTAGCCCACCAGACCCTACGTGGATGGCCCAGCCTGGACCCATCTCCTCGGATTCTGGAAGCTCAACAAGGCCGGACCTGGTCAGTGCTCGGATAGGAGGGCCACCAAGGAAGCCCAGGCCAGGCCAGGCCCATCAGCTCTCAGAAGCCAAGCGCTGTCCACTACCAACCTGGAGGCTGCTAGAGTGAAACAGTGGGGGGGTGGGGGTGGCGGTGGTGGACTTTTCTAAATAGGTTGAAGTCAAATACAAGAAAGCATGAAGACACCCCCATTCCCCCTGCCCACATCAGCCCAGTCCCAGCGAGGTACCTTGCGTGCAAGGTGTTTGAAATCTTCAGTCGTGGTTATCCGGCCAACTTTGCAGTCTGGCTTGCGATAGGGGTTCAGGCACTGCACGATGAACTGAGACATCTGGCAAGAAAGGAAGAGAGGGGTGTGTGAAGCAAAGGTTCTGAAAGGGCCCACCAATGGCTTCCCCATCCAGCACGAAAAGGGGAGGTTGCATAGATGACACAAAAATGCAGTAAGACCTCTGCAGGATCAGACCAGTGAGAGTCCATCTAGTCTTAGCCTCCTGTCTCACACATTGGCCAACCAGTTCCGCTGGAGGGCCAGCAACAGGGCACAGAGGCCGAGGCCTTCCCCTGATAAGAGCCTCAGAAGAGCCCTGCTGGATCAGACCAGGGAGGGTCCCTCTAGTCCAGCATCCCATCTCACACAGTGGCCAGGCAGTTCCTCTGGAGGGCCAGCCACAGGGCAGAGAGGCCGAGGCCTTCCCCTGATAAGAGCCTCAGAAGAGCCCTGCTGGATCAGACCAGGGAGGGTCCCTCTAGTCCAGCATCCCATCTCACACAGTGGCCAGGCAGTTCCTCTGGAGGGCCAGCCACAGGGCAGAGAGGCCGAGGCCTTCCCCTGATAAGAGCCTCAGAAGAGCCCTGCTGGATCAGACCAGGGAGGGTCCCTCTAGTCCAGCATCCCATCTCACACAGTGGCCAGGCAGTTCCTCTGGAGGGCCAGCCACAGGGCAGAGAGGCCGAGGCCTTCCCCTGATAAGAGCCTCAGAAGAGCCCTGCTGGATCAGACCAGGGAGGGTCCCTCTAGTCCAGCATCCCATCTCACACAGTGGCCAGGCAGTTCCTCTGGAGGGCCAGCCACAGGGCAGAGAGGCCGAGGCCTTCCCCTGATAAGAGCCTCAGAAGAGCCCTGCTGGATCAGACCAGGGAGGGTCCCTCTAGTCCAGCATCCCATCTCACACAGTGGCCAGGCAGTTCCTCTGGAGGGCCAGCCACAGGGCAGAGAGGCCGAGGCCTTCCCCTGATAAGAGCCTCAGAAGAGCCCTGCTGGATCAGACCAGGGAGGGTCCCTCTAGTCCAGCATCCCATCTCACACAGTGGCCAGGCAGTTCCTCTGGAGGGCCAGCCACAGGGCAGAGAGGCCGAGGCCTTCCCCTGATAAGAGCCTCAGAAGAGCCCTGCTGGATCAGACCAGGGAGGGTCCCTCTAGTCCAGCATCCCATCTCACACAGTGGCCAGGCAGTTCCTCTGGAGGGCCAGCCACAGGGCAGAGAGGCCGAGGCCTTCCCCTGATAAGAACCTCAGAAGAGCCCTGCTGGGTCAGACCAGGGAGGGTCCATCCAGTCCAGCATCTCGTCTCACACAGTGGCCAACCAGTTCCTCTGGAGGGCCAACAACAGGGCATAAAGGCCAAGGCCTTCACCTGATGTTGCCTCCTGGCTCTGGGATTCAGAGGATCAGTGCCTCTGAATGTGGAGGTTCACCTCAGTCACCATGGCTAGTAGCCGCTGATAGACTTTTCCTCCATGAATCTATCTAATCCTCTTTTAAAGCTGTCTGTTCCTGTGATGATCACTACATCCTCTGTCAGCGAATTCCGCCTTTTAATCACTCGCTGTGTAAAGACTTGTTTTTGTTCATCCTGAATCTACTGCTCATCGGCTTCATTGGAGACCCTGGACAGACAGTATTTTGGGAGAGAGAGAGAAATGGTCCTCACGTGTAGGCTCTCTCCCCGCCCTCTGCCATCCTCAAATTTCACTTGGGAACGGGCTTGGCTTACACCCTTTGATGTGGGACCTTTCAGGGATGTCCACTTGCTGCTCCTTTTTGTCCGTCTCCAGTATCTTGTGGGTCATGGGCAGTGACAGGCCGCTGTGCCAACACCAGACGGATCTGGCCCCCAGCATCTGAGGGGTCGCAGAAGTGGGACATGGTCTGGAATGAGCTCCCTAGTGAGATCAGAGCACCGCGGGACCTCCAGCAATTCTGCAGGGCCGTGAAGACGGAGCTTTTCCGTCGGGCGTTTTTGTAAGAATTGATTTCATCGGCTACACTGCACTTGCACTTTGTCATACAATACCGCCACATTTAATGGTTTTAACTGTATTTATTTGGAATTTTATTGTATTTTATCTGTGTACTTGCTGGTTTTAGAACTGTATGTAAGCCGCCCTGAGCTGCTTCGGCAGAAGGGTGGGATAGAAATCTAACAAAACAAAGAAACAAATAAATGATTTATGAAAACTGCGATGCTGAGAGACTCACCTCCTTCCGGAATACTTCCTTGCTTTTCTTTGCCAGCTCGCTAGAAGTGTCTGCCTCTGCCGTTTTGGGTTTTTTGGAAGACTGGAGAGAGAAAGAGAGAGCGTGGTTATTTTTAAGAAGTGCCCCTTTTCATTACACAGAACAAAGAGTTGGCCTTGTCCTGTAGTTTCTTCCTAGGAGTCTGGAACTGTAGCAGACGTCCTCTGCACAATGACTCACTGTAACATAAGCTTGGGAAGCAGAATACACAGCAATGGCAGCTCCCACAAAAAAGAACAAAGGTTGAGCCCAGTGGCACCTTTAAGACCAATGAAGTTTTATTCTGGGTATAACCTCTAAGTGTGTAAGTGTGCACATACTCAAAAGCTTTTAACCCAGACTAAGAAACTCTGCTGGTCTTAAAGGGGCCACTGGACTCAAACTTTGTTCCACCTAAATCTTGCTTCCAGAAAATTCATTAACAATAACAATCACCATCTAAACCACCAACATACCACCAAGGCGCAACCCAAACTAAAGGAAGTGTCCAGTGGCACCTTAAAGACTAACAAAACATTTTGGCAGGGGAGGCGCTTTCGTGAGCCACTAATAGGGACCACTTCGGTGGGAAGGTAACAGCGTTCCGTGCACCTTGGTGTTTAGTCATGCCGGCCACATGACCACGGAAACGTCTTCGGACAGCGCTGGCTCTTCGGCTTTGAAACGGAGATGAGCACCGCAACCCTAGAGTCGGATTCGACTGGCTTTCGAGCAAGGGAAACCTTTACCTTTTTAAGGTGCTATTGGACTCTTGCTCTTTTCTACTGCTACAGACAGACTAACACAGCTCCCCACCTTGACCAACCTTAACAGTCCCATTTGCCTGTGGCCTCATTCCATCTATGGACAAAGTCACTATGGACTACTTTGGTCTTGGAATCAGATTCTTAAACGTTCTAACATCATCTGCATTGCAGAGATTAGGTAAAATATCTGTTTGGCTGGAATGACGTGGGAAAGCCCTCTTGTATCTCTACCTGATTTTGCAACCATGTTATGTTTTTCCTCTTCCCTGTCCCAAGACTCTGGAATACCAACCTTTGGCTAAAATGGTATTAAAGGACATCCTAAAAATTTGATTTCTTTTAGAGAGATTTATAGAACTATACCGGAAATGTGTCAGTACAAGTGGATTTTCAATTATATATGTAATCTGATGTAATTTCTTAAAGAGTAATGTCTCCTGCATGATTTCTTTATTGTTATCTGAACATTCTGGCATTTTATTAGCCACCAAATATTTACCCTTTTCAGAATGTAAAAAGCTCACAGGTTGTCTGGTGTTTAGACGGAGATGTGAAGACTCAAGCAGGAGGGATAGAAAAAATGTTTTTTCCCACTGAGGGCCACCCAATTTTTCTGATGGAAGATTTAGGAAATTTGGGGAGCACTGGGAAAAAAATAATTCTGTTTTCTCCAGAGAGGGTTTGTTTGTTTTCTACCTTCATTTTATTTATTTATTTATACATTCGGCTTATATACCGCCCTGACCCCGAAGGGTCTCTGGGCGGTTTACATAGGAGTCTAGGTCTGCTTTCCCTATCATGTTTTATTTCTTCCTGCCTTTCAAATACATGTACTGTAGTAGCATAGGGACCAAGAGTTTGTAGCTTGCTCTCAAATACATTGGATATATTTACAGTTTTTTAAATAGAAAACCAATGCATTTAGATTTTAAATCCCATAAATAGGCAAAATAGTAAAAATTTTATATGCTAACTTATAAATGATGCCTTTTATGTTGTTAAATCAGTAAAATAAGTTTCGGTTTGATAGGAAAATATTGCATACATTTCAATTCTCCCTAGCATCCCCCCCCCAAATGTGCATCGCCATACACTTCCAGCACTGAACCTCGTTTATCATACTGTTGCTCACTCGCCCAGTTTTGGGAGGTCCTCCTGTGGCTCTTTCACGCTCCACCTTGGTTTTCACCAACCTGAATAGCTCTGTGCCCTCTCTGCTAATCTGGTCACTACACTGCTCACACCCCCAATTTGAAATCGTTTATGAACAAATTAGATTGCGCCAACTCCAATACCGATCCTTGTGGGCAGGGGTCATTTCCTGCAGGAGCGCACAGGAGCGGAGCTCCGGCAATAAAGAGCCCAGGGGGCGGGCACATGCAACAAGCCCCACCCCCTGCTCCCAGCAGCCCTCAGTCAGAACAAGAAGCAGCCAGGTCAGTTGTAGAGCCCTCCCCCCCCCCAGTCCAAAACAGTCTAGTGGCAGCTTTAAGACCAAATTTTATTCAGGTACGAGCTCTCCCTCCTCTGTGAGGACAGAACTGCACCCCCCCCAATAGCTGGCAATCCAAAACAGTCCAGTGGAGCCTGAGCGGTGGGTGTTGCCTTCTGACACACTTCCAGTGAGGTCAGGGGGTGTGGCGTATGCAAATAAGTTATGCTAATGAGCTCCTGCACCTCTTTTTCTACGAAATGACCCCTGCTTGTGGGACCCCACTGCTAACTTCCCTCCACTGTGAGAACTGCCCATTGATGCTTACCCTTTGCTTTCTTTCACGTAACCCATTTTTAATCCATAAGAGGGCTGTCCTATGACTGCTAAATTTATTCAGGATCCTTTCGTGAAGTACCGTGGCAAAAAACTCTGGACGTCCAAGTATACAGTGCCTACAGGATCATCCTTATCTGCATGCCTGTTAGCAGAGGACGGTGACTGCCTTCATGCCCTGCCCGTCAGCTCCTCGAGGGCATCCGGGTGACCCACGTGGTCAAGAGGACACTGGAGAAGAGCTCTGCCCGACTACAAGGGGAATTTTCAGGGAGCTGCAGAAGAGGGAGGTAGGCGTCTGCTCACTCAGCAGGATCTTCTGGATCCCAGGCACTGCAGACGGAATGCACAGTAGCACACCACGCCCCAAGGGAAGGGGGAGGCAAGGGTTGGTCCCAAACCCTTCCAGGCCGTGCACATATCCCTGTGAACTGTGCCAGGCTACTCAGTGTGGCTCTGCATGAACCCCAGAGCCTCTTTGATTTCTGGGATTCAGACAGGCAACGTGCCCCCCCCCCCCCAATGCTCTGCCATCACTGTGGCAAGTCTACAGGGCTCTGGGTTAAGGAAGAAACAGAGATTGGTCAGAGCATGAATCCACCAAGAAGAGGAGGGCAAAAGGCTGCCTCCAGTAACCAAAGATCCTCGGGGATGCTTACGAACAGCTGGGAACTCAAGGCGCAGACATGCCTGAGGCAGCTGATATGGAATTTAAGCCACTCGAGACAAGCCCAGCCCTCCACCATTACACTGCCAAGGTCAAGAGGCAGAAACTGCGGACTACAGTTAATGCAGAAGGTCAAGAGGCAGAAACTGCGGACTACAGTTAATGCAATTCAATGCAATGATGATTTAAATCTTTGCTCGATAAAACCCACCGCAGAAATTTAAAGCAAAGGAGTCTTAAGATTTCTTTGGCCACCAGCAAACTGTATCGCAGCTATTTCATTAAGACTTCCAGCCGCCTACAGAGAAGCTATGAGCGAAAATCCTGAGCAGAACGTCTCCTTTGATCTTAGGGATCTCCCCTGATCTGTGTGATCCCTGGTGCTGGCCACGACAGATGGAATGGCTCCTAACAAGGAAGTGGAAGACCACGCCCCCACATTATAAAAAACAGGAAATCTATTTTCTCTTCCTAACTAGAAAACGATAGCACTTCAAAGCTAAAAAAAAAAAAGCTTAGAAAAGCTAAAAATCCTTATTTTAAAAGGAATGTCCTAAAACAGATTGTCATTAGTGTTCCCTCTAAGCTGAGTTAGTGTGAACCAGCTCACAGTTTTTTAGCCTCCGGCTCACACCTTTTTATCTTAGCTCAGGAAGGAGGGCTCCAGAGCAAACTAGTTTATGCAGTGGCCAAATTACTTGCTCACAACTTTAATGCCAGTAGCTCGCACAGTGGGATTTTTGCTCACAAGACTCCACAGCTCAGAGGGAACATTGATTGTCATCCATATTTATGGTAGTCCTTTGAAAACAGGACAATGGTTTTGTAGAGCACCTCTGGATTCAAATCCTTTTGGGGGGTGGGGGTTTCCCCCCAGCAGTGGAGAGACCTGGCCAGATCAATCGTCTCAGCTTCGATGCCTCTTTAAAGGGCTCTTATTTGTTATGTCTTTGGGAGATAAAAATTACCGTTCCCACACTCGGATGACGGAGCTGGGAGCTGAGTCACGTCCTGGCTAGCGAAGGGACAGACGCAGATGGGACCGGGAAACCAGTAACGCAAACTAACCTTCATGGGATTTTCATCATACGTCGGGGTTCCAAGATCCATTTCAGCTTCATGCTCCAGGCTGGTGTCATCCCCGGGGCTGTCCCAAGTCGGGGGGTCCCACTGGGTTTGCCTGCAGGAAGAAATCCACCGCACGTAAGAGAAAAACCATTCTGAGCTCACAGAGGACAGGCCCCCGTGGTAAGAACCAAGCCCCTGCCTGCTACAAGAACTCCGGAAAGGACTTCCTATTGATTTAAACAGAGAGGTGCGATCCTGAATGAATGTACGTCTGAGAAAAGGCTTGCATGTCTTTCTCTTGCCCCAGAGCCCTGAATGTCAGATGTGTGTATGTGCGCCAGTGCCTGCACATATGTGAAAGAGAGAGTGGTGCCGCATACAAAGCCCTTCATGGCCCTGGCTCCTCTTAATTGCCGGACTGCCTCTCCTCCGCCACAACTACTTTGCTGTAGTGGTTAAGTATGCGGACTCTAATCTGGGAGATCCAGGTTTGATTCCCCACTCCTCCACCTGCACCTGCTGATGTGACCTTGGGTCAGTCACAAGCTCTGGCACAGCTGTCCTTGAAAAGGAGCAGTTTGTGTCAGAGTTCTCTCAGCCCCACCTACCTCACAGGGTGTCTGTTGTGGGGAGGGGAAGGGAGAGGAGTTTGTAAGCCGCTCTGAGACTCAAAGTGAAGGGCGGGGTATAAATCCAATCTCCTCTTCTTCTTCTCATGTCAGCGGGAGTTTCTGTGGGTGCCAACCAAGGTTCCCTTCAAGCTGTGGAGTCTTGTGAGCGAGCGGTTTGGCTACTACATAAATTAATTTGCTTTGGAGCCATCCTTCCTGCGCTAAGACAAAAATGTGTGAGCTAGAGGCTAAAAAGCTGTGAGCTAGCTCACACTAAGTCAGCTTAGAGGGAACACTGGTGCCAACCTGCAAATTGTCAGAATCATCAACTGCCCGTACACACAGTGCCTTCTCTGTTGTGGCCCCCTGCCTTATGGAACGGCCTTCCGGAGGAGCTCAGGGAGGCTCCTCCTCTCATGGCTTTCCACAAACTATGCAAAACTGAATGATCCAAGAGGGCCTTTCTGCGCAGGTAGCACGGCTGCACTGTACAAAAGGGTTCACAAACTTACTTGGGTAATATGGATTCAGGTGGGTCGCTGAGTTGGTCTGAAGCAATGGAACAAAGGTGGAGTCCAGTAGCCCCTTTAAGACCAACAACGTTTTATTCTGGGTATAAGCTTTCATGTGGATGTTGTCAGCCTTCCAAAGGAGGTTGGCCGCTGTGTGAGACAGTATGCTGAATTAGACGTACTACTGGTCTGACCCAGCAGGGCTCTTCTGAGGTTCCTATCAGGGGAAGGTCTCAGCCTCTCTGCCCTGTTGTTGTCCCTCCAGAGGAACTGGTTGGCCACTGTGTGAGACAGGAGGCTGGGCTAGAGGGACCCTCACTGGTCTGACCCAGCAGGGTTCTTCTGAGGTTCTTATCAGGGGTAGGCCTCGGCCTGTCTGTCCTGTTGTTGGCCCTCCAGGGGAACCGGCTGGCCCCTGTGTGAGACAGGAGACTGGACTAGATGGACCCTCCATGGTCTGATCCAGCAGGGTTCTTCTGAGGTTCTTATCAGGGGTAGGCCTCGGCCTCTCTGTCCTGTTGTTGGCCCTCCAGGGGAACCGGCTGGCCCCTGTGTGAGACAGGAGGCTGGACTAGATGGACCCTCCCTGGTCTGATCCAGCAGGACTCCTCTGGTGTTCTCAGAAGGCCTCAGCCTCTCTGTCCTGCTGTTGGACCTCCAGAGGAACTGGTTGGCCCCTGTGTGAGACGGGAGGCTGGACTAGATGGACCCTCCCTGGTCTGATCCAGCAGGGCTCTTCTGGTGTTCTTATCAGGGGAAGGCCTCAGCCTCTCTGCCCTGTTGCTGGTCCTCCAGAGGAACTGGCTGGCTCCTGTGTGAGACAGGAGGCTGGAGTGGATGGACCACTGGTCTGATCCTGCAGGGCTCTTCTGATGTTCTTAAGATCTGATGAAGGGAGCTCTGGCTCTCAAAAGGTGATACCTTAAAAATCTTGCTCGTCTCTAAGGTGCAACTGGACCTGAAGCTAGCTGTTCTGGATTCGAGTCCAGTAGCCCGTCAGAGACCAACAAGATTTTCAGAGTATATAAAAAAAAACCCAGGAGCGCTTATAGCTCTGTGGTACAATGCTGGCTATTCCGGAAGGAAAGTCCTGAGTTTAGTTCCTGGGTATCTCCAGCTAAAAGCTACAGCACGCCACTGGCGCTATCCACTGTCTGTCTGTCTGTAGTCCCCTAGCTGAAGACTGGCAGAGGATACCAGGCCCTGTGGGAGGATGGCCAGACTTTCTCTAAGGCGGCTTCGTACAAGTTTACGAAGTCACCTTGCATCTGTTTCAAATAACCCGTGAGTCCCTCAAACAGAAGCACCTCAAATGTATACAGCCGCCACCCAGTGGACTAAGATGTCGTGAGCCCCACACTTCTCGTAATGTGCACCTTTAATGTTCCCTTAATTAAGACCAGTTCTGGGGGTGGGGGGAGAAGTGGCCCGGAGAACAAAGGAAACGCCTCCGAGGGGATTTGCTGTAAAGCCCGTGGCCGCCTGTTAATGTGCCATTACAAAGAGGTCTGTGAATGCGGCAGTGAGAAAGGTTTCCGCTCCAAACGAGCGGCACTTAACCATCGGGCTCCGAGGTAACTAAGTCCACATGCGGACAGACCAGGATCAAAGCGCGCAGGACCTTTTCTGTTTAAAGGGGTGCATCCCGATGCCAGTTTCCGACACTTTCCACTTGGCACTCGTGTGCTGAGCCAGAAGCGCGAGAAGCAAAAGTCCTGGGCACTTTGAGGCTCCTGCTAAGAAGGTTCCTCTGGTCTCCCTATCAGTGATAAGTAAATCAGTCTCCCTATCAGTGACAAAAATCACAGGAGTATAGAGGGGAAGGCGGGGCTTACCAGAGTGTAGAGAGGGCACAGCTTAGAGGCCCTGCCCCTGCTTTGCATTTGGAAGCTCCCAAGTGTAATCTCAGAAAGGGGCTGGGAAGAACTGTTCTCCACCTGAGACCTTGAACAGCTGCTGTCCATCAAGAGCGCAGAGGGGGGGGGGACCCCATTCATCCCTGCTGCTAGCCCATTTCCCCTTCTGTTTCGGCTCACCTTGCCTACTTCCTTCCACTCCGCCTGCACTTTGTCTCCATCCCTCCCTCCCGCTCTTTCTCTTCCTCTCTGGTGCCCTACCAGGGGGTTTCCTGGTAGGGCACCTGGTACTTTCCCTATGAAGAAAGGTTAAAGCACTCGGGGCTCTTTAGCTTGGAGAAACAACGGCTGAGGGGTGACATGATCGAGGTTTGTAAGATTATGCGTGGGATAGAGCAGGTCGAGAAAGGAATCCTTTCCTCCCTTTCTCACAAGACAAGAACTCAATGAAATTGCTAAGCAGTTAAGTTGGAACAGATAAAAGGAAGTCCTTCTTCACCCAAAGAGTGATTGACACATGGAATTCACTGCCACGGGAGGTGGAGGCGGCTACAAGCATGGACGGCTTCAAAAGTGAATTAGATAAGCATGTGGAGCAGAGGTCCATCAGTGGCTATTAGCCACAAGGTATAGATAGGGACTCTCAGTCTGGGGCAAGTGATGCTCTGTATTCTCAGTGCTTTGGGGGGGGGGCAACAGTGGGAGGGCTCCTAGTGTCCTGGCCCCACTGCTGGACCTCCCGATGGCACCTGGTATTTTTGGTCACTGTGTGACACAGAGTGTTGGACTGGATGGGCCATTGGCCTGACCCAACATTGGCTTCTCTTATGTTCTTATGGATAAACATATGGAGCAGAGGTCCCTCAGTGGCTCTTAGCCACAAGGTATAGATAGGAACTCTCGGTCTGGGGCAAGGGATGCTCTGTATTCTTGGTGCTTGGGGGGGCAATAGTGGGAGGGCGTCTAGTGTCCTGGCCCCACTGCTGGACCTCCTGATGGCCCCTGGTGTTTCTGGCTACTGTGTGACATAGAGTGTTGGACTGGACGGGCCATTGGCCTGATCCAACACTTGTATCTCTCATGTTCTTATGCTCCTCCCCCAACCGCCACTCACAACACACTCTTTTTTCCCACCCCCTTCCCCAGCTCTCCGCCCCCCCCCCAGCTTCTTTTTCCCCGTTCTCTCTTGCCCATGAAGCTCAGATCCTCCCTCCGCTGGAGTTTCGGCACTCCCACAACCTCCTCCATCCACCAAGAGCAACAGCCAAGCGGTGAATGTAAATCTGTTTTGAGATCCTGTTGCTCGTCTAATCAAGTGGAAGATAATTTTTTAAAAAAATTAGAAGGAAAAAACAAAGACCCAAGTAGAGTAAGAGAGACCCCCTTTACCTTGTCACCACGTGGTAGTAATAGATCTTCCCCTCTGGATCTCGGGCTGTTTTCCAATTTGGAGGGAGGACGATGGTTTTGGGTTTCGGAGGAGAGGGCGGAGGCAGGTCCAGGAGGTTGTTGGTCACCACGAGCTCCGGCTGGAAGCAGCAAGACGATAAAAAGAAACACAAAACGTGTCATTCTACAGCGACCTTTTTGAGCTGGCGGGCCCTGATGTAATTCTGAGAGGGAGCAGAGAGCGCCGCCCTGCAATGGCTGCTGCAGGAGGTGGGGCCAAATGCAACACTTCCCTCCGCACTTGGCCACCTTTCATTCAAAGGAGAACAGCCAATAACAAGCCCTGCCTTACGGTGGCTCTGCCCACTTTCGAAAAACTCGCCGGACACCAAGAGATGTATTGGTGAGCACCACGCTGGGGAACCCTGGTCTACGGCAACAGCCGAAAAAGATAGCTAAACGGCAGCTGCGGGGAGGGTGAAAAAGGTGCCAAATTTTCTTCTACGAAGGGAGCGAACTACCCATGCAGGCCGCTGTGTCCTTTCCAATTAGGCTAAGACAGCCTCGATACTGTTCCGGGACATTTGCAAAATGCTCTGCCTGGACAGGACTACTAGAAATCCACACGACTTCACCCAAGAATACCATTGCTCAGAGTTACGCATGGCCTGTTTCTGTCCTGACAAGGGAATAAGTGTCAAAAATCAGCAAATACCGTGCTACAGACTATTATAAAATATCTCATATAATTTTTATATATTTTTTGTTTTCTTTTTTTACAATTTATTCACCATATATCATTGATCATATAAGCCTTAATACAAAACATCTAAGTATCGTCTCTCAACATATCACAAAAGATATTGCACAACCCCTTTGTTAATATCAGTCCTCCTTAATTATACAAAAGTTTTAAGAGGGAGGACTCCTTTAAGTCTATTTTGAATAAGTGCTCAGTCTTCCTCCAACAAGAGGTCCAGATATCCTCCTGTTTCAG